AGGTTCCTTTGTTTTAGGCGAGAAGACGAGTGTTGTTCAATGCTGGATCAGAAGCCTTTTGGTGAACCATGAGCTCTTTAGGAAATTCTCCTTTGATTCTGAAATTAGGATTTCCATCAAGTATGTCAATTGGTTCATCTTTTTCAGCAAGTTTTCCATCTCGAATGTCCAAATCTCGTTGGTTATGATGATCAGGAGCCTTTGACTCAATCGTGAACTTCTTTTTGCGTTCTCCTTTTCCTTCAAAACTTGGATGATCATTTAGAATTTCAAAGGTTTTCTTTTTGTTACCTTGTTCATCAAGAGGATGTATTCTTCTTGTTGTATGATATGGATCATCATATTCAGACATAGCAAAGCAATTTATAGAAATATTTGTAATCATTAAGAACAATAGAAATCGGGTTCGAGAAACTTTTCTAAGGGTTACTAAGAGGATGAGAGTTCTTCTCCCAAAATCCAAACAATCAAAGTAACAAGTAGATAGAGATGAATGCCTTTAGAACTTGTGAAGATCTAAGAGCTTTGAAGTGATGATGGTGGTGAGTGTGTCATGAAGTCGTGGATGCTCCTGTCTTTTCATAGGTAAGAAGTCGGACCTAGGGTTAATCCCTTGAGGAGTTGGAGATAATGCCGAAAAAGGAAAAAATTTCTATCTTTTTGTATCTGGTGATTGGTCAAAAGAATGAACGATAACTCTGGCTCCTCTAGGAGGTTCCTCTAGGCTACCCAGCCCCTTTCCTTTTTCATCATATGTAAATCTTCCACTCATGATGAGGTTCTAGTAGATGAATCAACGTAAATAAGGAGAAGCAGTAGAAATCCGTTGAGTGGATTAATCTAGATTGTACTCGTGAGAATATTTCCAGGTGAAGCTAGTTTCAACTAGAGAGACTTTGATGGTGAAGGATGTAAATGGAAAACTCCCTTAATCAGATAGCAAAAAACTCATTATGATCGCCTTCTTGTACCTCATAGATGGATTTACCGATTAGAAGGAGGAGGGCTCTAGGGAGAGGAACCAAAAAAACTAATCTAGCTCCGGCCAGGATGTAGATTCCAGTGAGATTTTTGAGGGTTTTATATATTTTCGGGTAGAAAAAGTAGGTAAGTTGGTAGAAAAAAAATATTATTTAAAAAAGTTACTTAGAGAAGAAAAAAACTTATACTAGTTTATTTT